TACTCTACCCACTTCTAAAATAATGTTGCTCTTTTTCTTATGAGCCTCCTATTTTATTTTGTTGTATAAATATTAAAATTACTCACTTAATTGGCTGCTCTTCTATAAAAAATTATTGTTCCCTCATAGGGTTGTCACGATATAAAAATTTCAAACTCGATATCACACCTCAGAAAATACTTGATAATATTCTATACAAGGAGGAAAAAATCTATTTAAAGGGATAAAAAGACATATTTATTAACATGAAAAAACCACCAGAATTTTTTAAGAGAATCAAGATTCTATTGGATAAATAAGTGTACAAATATAACACAATATAAAAATTTTAGGTGGTTTAAAGTTTTATTCTTTTAACGTGCAAACAATCTAGAGATCTACAACATCTACATAGGCAAAAATGTGCAAACAACATACTTTCAGAGTATCAACCATTTTGACAACCTTATTATGTCTATAAATCTGGAATAATTGTCAGCTGAACATTTTATATTTATAAATTATGATTTTTCTCCTCACCAAATCGGTTATTAACCCTTAAATTGGCTTTTTTTTAAGAGGAAAATGAAAAATAGGATATTTTTGGCCTGTGGGAAATACTATTTAACATTTGCTTAAAGTAAAAGTATCAGAATCTTCTAAGATCTCACCTGCTTAACAACTGCACTGAAAAAAATTCCAGATAAAAAAGTACATTGCCTATCTGCAGCCTTACCATCTGACGCTCCATCATCTTTCTCTGCTGGTTGCAGGAATGAATCGTCTTCTGACCAATAACTCGTATGAAGCGGCTTTTCCTCTGCATGAGGTAATTACATCGACCTTCCTTCACAGCCCTTTATTTCCTGATTTGCACCACCTGTTTTTCATATCAGCAATACTCGCTGAGGTCAGCATGTTTGGAACTGTCCCCTTTTTTTTAACTGCACCAGGGCAGCTACCACAGCAAAAACTCCATCCGAACTCACGGAGCAGAGAACCATCGACACCTTCTGTATGAATGCTGGGCCTGGTGGGGGGTCTGGTATAAGTACCAACCTCTGGACCTCATCAGGTATGCAGCAAGTTAGATTTCATATTGAATTTAGAGGATAACATTAGAGCAGGCTGTAGTAGCATTAACCATAAACACTTTTTACTCCTACTGTTGTTTCAGGAGGTACTTTGGTGAGAAGATTGGCCTGTATTTCGCTTGGCTCGGCTGGTACACAGGGATGCTGTTCCCTGCTGCTCTTGTCGGTCTGCTTGTGTTTCTATACGGTGTTTTCACTCTGGAGCACTGCTCAGTCAGGTAAACACTGAAGCTCTATTTTTACACGTGCAACACCTTTCAGGAGTATTTATATCCCCAGAACTCATTCATATTTTACGCTTGATTTGACAAACAACCTTAATTTATAGTGGTAAATTTGGGTTTGGTGGTTTTTCAGCAAAGAAATCTGCCAGGCAACCGACACCATCATGTGTCCCATATGTGACCAGTACTGCCCCTACCTGAGGCTGTCTGACAGCTGCATCTATGCTAAGGTACTATCACTTTAGGCTCCCAAGCTTGTTAGAGTAATCTGGTATTTTAATTTAATGTTTAAAATGTACATATTTAAGCTACTTTTTGAGTGTTTGATGTTAGTTTCCTGTCTGTATTTTAAGGTCACCCATCTTTTTGACAACGGCGCAACGGTTTTCTTTGCTGTGTTCATGGCAGTTTGGGGTAAGTCCCTTTTAATTAATCAGTTAGATGTCGTTTAGTGGGTTTTTTTTGTCTGCTTAGTTTACTGTAATGTAAGATATCTCATCTAGTTTGCAGGTTAAAAAAAAGGTATTAGACATGCAGTATCAGGTGAAAAGATTAAGAAAATTAATAGAAAATTAAATCTCCTTTTAGATAAATAGTCAACATATATTTTAGCTATTTCAACTCTTTTGATATATATATATATATATATATATATATATATATATATATATATTTTAAATGGTTGATAATTTGTGTCCTAAAACTTTTATGTTATATAAAAACAATAACATAACACAAATGGCTGTACAGGAAATACGCTTTTAGCCATTCATTGAGATTCTCTGTGATACATTCAAATCACATAATGTATTAATACATTTTTTATTTAAAATATTAAAAGAATCAAAATGAGACGATGAAAGAAAGTATTTACAGTTTTATGTTCTTGAATTAAAGCAAAAAAAGTAAAACAAAAATGTCAGATAAAGTTTTTTCATAGCCAGTAGTTGATTTACAATCATTATTGTACCTCAAAATACACGTGAATCATTTCTGTACAATTTCTTACACTGGTCTGTGTCTCTTTATATCCAGGGCAGATTGAAATCTTAATAATATTCCAAAATACCGTATGTATTATATTATAAGACTGGCCCCTCCGGTTTCTTTATTTTAGTTATTTTAGTTTTGTTTTTTTTCTTTTTTTCTATATATTTTAACTACACAATTTAAATATTGTGGAAGCTCCTTTATTAGTAAATTCTCTCAACACAACAACAAGTAATGTTGCATTTATACAACCAACTGGTATGGAATCTGGAACTAAACGGCTGAATTATATGCATTTTTTTTTTCACTTGTTTCTGCAAGTCTTTATTAAAACTCTTAAAATCTCCATGTTTCTTCCTCCCAGCTGGCCTATCTCTCTGCGCAGCATTGACACACAGCCAAAAGAAACAAAAAAAAACTCATCTGCAGCTGGATGACACAAAGTATGTAAATTCGGTGATGATGTCATATAGCGCCTTTTAGGACAGCCAATAACTACTTTTCTTGGCTTACATTAATTTCTTCAAATTAAGTCACTAAACAGTCAGAGAAGTTTTAATAATTTTGATCAATTTTAGCATTTAGAATTCAGGTAAGAAGTTTCCTTGTGACTTCTGACATCCCTGATCGTCAGAGACATAGGTGGTAAAGGCTAGTTATAAAAGCTTATTATTGATTGACACTGGTGTAAGTGGAATTTCCCAATCAATACTTTTCCATTATGCAGTCACCATGCATGTATATCTTTTAAAAGTATTTTCCTGCCTCTTTGCAATTTTTCAAATTTGATACAATGCATTTTTTTATGTCAACCAGGCGTCAAATGTAGACAGTAACACTGAATCACTTCCAGTTCAATTAAACAGATGCTACTGTACGAGGTCCCAGGGTACAGGTGGTGAAAGTGCAAATTCTGTTGGATGGTTGTAGTTTTCTACTGCAGAGGCTTTGGTATGTAATACAGCATCAGGAGAATTATTGTTGAACAAATAAGTGTTCTGCTTATAACCCACTGGGTAGAAGTATGGGAGCTCTGAAAGGAAACAAATGAGAAATTAGACAGATTATATTCTATATGTGAAGTTATAATATCAAACAATCTGGATGAAAAAATTAGGATTCAAATTCTCTGTGTGTAAAAAGTTTCAACATATTTAGATTTGTCTTTTTGAAAGTGCTGTTTAGTGTAGAAAGAAACTAAACTAACGCTCCATTCATATATAGTGCTTTACAAGACTTTTTACACACCAAACATTCCACATTTTGTCACATTAAACCGATAAAGTCAAGGTACTTCAACTGATTTTTTGTTTTGTTTTGACCAAAACACAAAAGAGCATAGCTGTGATGTCGAAGGGGATTTATTCTTGGTTTTTTTACAATTGTACTTTGTATTTATATTCAGTCCCCTGAGTCAGCCATTAGTAAAACTAACTTTTAACAAATTAAAAGCAACAGTTTCATACATTCAGACATTGTTATTGTTAGCTAATGTTATGTCAAAAATAGTTAAAACTTGATCAGATTAAATGGAGAGTGAGAGCGATGATCGATTTGGTTAAGTTTTTTAAAGAGGCCCAATTAGATTTCGGCTTGACTTTGACTAGGCCATTGTGACATATATCCTTTGATCTAAATGATGTAATTGTAGCTCTAGTTGTATGTTTTGGGTCATTGTCCTGCTGAAACATAAACATGTCTCTACATTAAAGGCATTTGATCAGTGGCGGCTCGTGGAGTTTTCTCCGGTGGAGGCTATAAATTCAAAATTGACGTATACCAAAAAAAAACAGTCAAACGTATACTAAGTTATCACACTAGTATATTTATATGAATGCCTACAACAAAAAACATTATAAAAACAAAACAAAATTTCATTAACAGTTTTACATTTTGTACATAAATCTTTCCCTTCTGAGGCTTTGTGAAGGTAAATCTGTGTTTTACATGGTCCAATATTGTGCCACAAACATAAAAAATAATGAAGAAGCTTTTAGTCAGCTTTATATTTTTTAATAAGCTTCACTTTTGCCATTCCGAATGAAGTAAGTCTGACTTCATCATTTTTGGTTCCAAGGATGTTCAGAGACGGAGGTTTAGTTAGCAATGCAGTCAGGAACCTGGGAGTTGTCTTTGACCGTCAACTGAACTTCAAACAATAAATAAATGCCGTTGTCAATGCTAGCTTTTTCCTGCTGCAACTTTTGATCAAGGTGAAACCCTTCCTCTCACACCAACACCTGGAGAAGACGATTCACGCATTTATTAGTTCTCGGTTGGATTATTGCAACGCTCTCTACTCTGGCCTCTTATAGTCGTCGCTCCAACGGTTACAGTTAGTACAGAATGCAGCAGCTCGTCTCCTCTCTGGCTCATCTAGGCAAAGCCACATCACTCCCATCTTCTCCTCCCTGCAATGGCGCCTGGTCCGTTTTCAGATTGATTTTAAAGTTTTAACACTTGTCTTTAAAACCTTCATGGTCTCGCTCCGTTATATTTAACTAAGATGTTGACCATACATTGCCCCAGAAGAGCTCTCTGATCTGCTGATCAAATGGTTCTGGACGTCCCTAGGTCTCTGTATAAACAGTGGGGCAATTGTTCCTTTGTGGTTACCGAACTTAAACTTTGGAACAACCCGCCCCTCAGTCTGCGGGTTCTCACTGATCTGCACCTTTTTAAGTCCAGATTAAAGACTATTTTTTCAAGCTGGCTTATAACACTTAGGACACATTGTTTTATGCCTATGATTTTAGTTTATTTTTGCAATGTTTTTCTGTGAAGCACTTTGGTTCTCCTGGTGTTGTTGTAAAGTGCTATATAAATCAACTTTGATTTAATTTGATTTCTACCATAAATGCCATTTGGTAAGAGTTCAATTTGTTGTAAAATCCAATTGACAAAATCTAACAATTCCTTTATCCCTAAACCATCTGCTGGGTTCCTTGGTTTTAATGATTTTTTTATTTTTTTTGTCACTAATGTTTTCTAACAAAACTGACATTATGATACCCGCTTTATAATCATGTGACTGCTTATTTAAGGGTTTTAGACTAAAGGGACCGAATAAGAAAACATGCAAGGCCTCTATTTATAAGACATGATAAAAACAGTGTTACAATTATGTCTGTGGTTTATTCAAAATGGGGATCTTGCATCATTTTCCTCCATATCTTCAGTAACTCTGGTCATTGAAACACAAACAAATGCAGCAGAAATACTCACCACTTAGCTTATTAGCAGAGTGCGGTCGTTTGAGAGCCTCCTGAACTCTTCGTTCAAGCCTCCAACATCTCAGTATGAAGAGAAGAGCTAGGCACAGCTGCAGGGCAAAGGTCAACACTCCCAGCACGATGATGGTGCTGTTGACTGTTGAGGGGGAGGAACAGAGAACAGGCAGACAGTTTTATAATGTACTCCAGTTTCCTTTCAACATACAAATGCAGGGAAATAATATAGGCTAGATTGCAATGTAGCTGTTGCTTGGCGAGAAAAAACACTCCCATCTGTGTTGTCATGATCCACACATGAAGCTGTTTTCCTCATTGTGCTGAAACACCTCCATAAGATCCATATCTTTATTCAAGTCATGTTAGCACATTTGTTTCCCTAAACTGACCCCACAGAATCAGGAGCATAAAAATGTTTTGGCATGCTGAAGCATTAGAGGTCCCTTTATAGAGGAAGTAAGAGGCTGAACTGAACTGAAAAACAGCCCCACACTATAACGATTTATACTTGACACAATACAGGCAGACAAGTGCTGCTCTCCTGGCAACTGCCTCACAAAGACTCGTCTATTGGATTGTCAGGCAGAAAGGCGCAATCTGTCATTCTGTAGAACATGTCTCTACTGTCTACATCACAGCATCTGATGTTTTGCATAATAATTGATGACGTAAGGCTTGGATACAGCTGCTCTACCGATGAAACCCATTCCATGAATTTCTGTATTAACTATTCTTGAGCTCATCTGAAAGCCAAAGGACATTTGGAGGTCTGCAGCTGCCAACTCTGCAGAAAGTTGGTGACGTCTTTGCACTGTATGCCTGCCAACCACTCTTAGATTTGATAGCATTCAATTTCCTGGCTAGGTTGATGAGATTTCCATTAGCCTGGACTTTGTAGTAATATTGCTGACATATCAGTGAGTACTATTTAGGATTGAGAACATTTCTCAGCTTGACTTGTTGCACAAGTGGCACCAAAAAGGGGGCCACACTGGAATTCTTTGTGAGACCAATCTTCATGGAGTTGATAGGGGGCCCTGGAACTGGGGAAGTACATAAAGTGCTCAGACAAATCGTTCCCAGATTTATTTTTCGTAGAGAAAAAAAAGATCTAGACTGTCATTTGAAAAAAGGTAAATCTTTAATATTTCCTCAGTGCTGTTGTTGAGTGCCATCTGTGACTATAACAAGGAA